AGATTCGTTAAAATTGGAATGATACACAGAAGATTAGCGTGGCCCCTGTGAAAGGATGACATGCATAAATCGAGAAATGGTCCCAAAAGAAAAATTGTGGAGGAGCGGGAGAGGGTGAAAGAAAAGTAGGGTCGCGTTGGCGAGGACGAGGAGGACGGGAAAGGAGGGCGGAGTTGATGATGATGACGATGGGGAGGAGGAGGAGGAGAGGGCGAAAGAAAAGATGGGCGGACATGATGAGGACGACACAGGTGGTTCCCCAGGTAATGTCAGCATGTACATGTCATTTTTTTTTTCCCGGAAAGTGCAGGGGATCCCGACAGGAATCTGGACAGGGGATCCGGTCCAGATATTCCGGAATATTCCAGTTTTCCAGAAGTCCAGTTGGGCCCGGAAGGTTCGGTGTCCGGGGTCCAGGGTCCGGATGCGGTCGACGGTCCGGTCCGCCGTAGCTATGATTCACGCTGTGCGCGACGCTTTGCCGAAATGCCAGCGCAGTGTCTTCTGTGTTTTAGTTTTGGCTGGAGCCTCCAATTTTTGTCAGAGAGGTTCAATCCTGATTCTCAACTTGGCTGGGGCCATGGACTGGTGGTTTAAAGCCGACCGAAAAAAAAAAAAAAACCCTCTGTGAACATGAAGTCGAATTTCTTGGTGTTTTCAACAAAATTCAAGCTCATGCTGTTTTTGAATATGGTGATAAATAACATGTGAATTTTTTTGTGGATAAGGGCGTGCTCACACTAGCCATATCACAAATGTATCCGACTGCATTTATGGCCGGATGTGAATGCATCTGACCGCAATTACGTCCATAAACAAGTAAAAGAGTCCTAGTGTGAGTATATGCCCTAAGATATAACGACCATGTTCTCTCGTCTTCCAAACGAAACGACAGCAATCTTCTCAATAATCGCCGTTTCTTCTTCTGTGATTTTATGTTTTTTGGCTAATACTGAACGACATCAATGCTGATTTTATGTTTTTTGAAGACTTGTCAGCCAAGCCAGCGTCCTTCATGTGGTTTCACAGGTGAAGGATCCACTTTGGGCCCAGTTCGGCCCACCTTAGTGGTATCCAGGAGGTATCATCATAAAAACCTCATCTTCCTTTCTTCTGAAGGTCAAATAATTGATTCAGTTAAAGCACCAGTACTTGGGCGACGCCTTAGCGTTAACGCTACGCGATTTCCGCGGCCGGCGGGCCGTCGATAAATATAATCGACAGTCCGCGCTGCTTCGAGATTTGGGCGGCCGGCGCGGCGCGCAGTGCCCAAGTACTGGTGGTTAAAGCTGTGTTAATGCTGTGCTGGTTCCCGGTCGACTCAAAGTGGATCTGTTTGCCTGGGAATCCCTAAGGTGGGCCCATCTGGGCGAGGTACAGGCAGGATTGTGCATGGTCCCAGCACAAAATATATTTTTAAGAAGTTAAAAAAAAAGGAATGAAAAGTTGTTAAAAACTAAGACTGTCCATCGGGACATTTGTTAAAATTGGAACGGTATGGAGAAGCGTAGCGTGGCCCCTGCGCAAGGATGACATACATAAATCGAGAAATGGTCCCAAAAAAAAAAAAAAAAAAAAAGAAATTGTCCCTCGGGACATCCGTCAAAATTGGAACGATACACAGAAGATTTGCCCGCCCCGTGCGCTTTCAAGGATGACACGCATAAATCGAGAAATGTCAAAAAAAAAAAATGATGAAAGTCAGGAAAGGGAAAAATGTTGTGTAGAACTGCAATGCAAACGACTTTTTGAGAGGGTCTCCTCGCAATTCCTTGTTTTTTTCAAGTTAAAAAACATAACATGGAAGGGAAAATTGTAAAATGCCTCTGAAAAGTTAGGGTATTTGGTCAGATACCCCTAAAAGACATGGGTATGGGAAAATGCCCGTAGTATGACAGTCGTGATGCTACGTGAAATAACCCACTAGCCAATTGGACCCGCCGTCTTGCGCATAAATCCCTACCAGGCCCTGCTCAAATTGTCCATATGCGCACGTCTTTCTGGCCGTTGGACCCTTGGCAAAAAATCTCTACTCCTTTCCCGTCCTCCGTCTCCATCTCTACACTTTGCCTAGATTTATCCATCTCCGTCTCCACACCTCCATCTCTACACCTTTCCCTGACAACGAATGTATACAAGCTAACTTTCCGGTGCGGTGCAGTGCCGCCGTAATGAGGGTGCGTTGTGTTCGGGGGGGGGGGTGAGGGAGAGGGAGAGAGAGGGAGAGGGAGAGAAGGCATCTTCCCCTGAACACTACACATCCTCATTATGGTTGTACTGCACCAGAACGGTCGCTTGTGTATGTTCATCGTCAGTGTGTATTGTATTCGGGGGAAAGCCACATCCTCCCAAGCACAATGCACCCTGAGAACGAATGCGTGCAAGCGATATTTCTGGTCTGGTACAGCCATAATAAGGGTGCGTTGTGGTATTGGGAAGACGGTAATTTGGAATTTGGGGAGAGAGAGAGAGAGAGAGAGAGAGAGAGAGAGAGAGAGAGAGAGAGAGACCTGAACACCACATCGTGATGACGAACATATGCAAGCAATGTTTCCGTACTGGCACAGACATAATGAGGGTGTTCGGGGGAAGACGGTAATGGGGAGAGAGAGAGAGGAAGAGGGCTTCTTGCTCCGAACACAATGCACCCTCATTATGGCTGTCCTGTACCAGAAAGATTGCTTGTGTACATTTGTTATCAGGGTGTGTCGTCTTCCCTCTGAGCACAACATACCGTGAGAATGAATTTAAACAAGCGACCTTTCTGGTCCGGTACAGCTATAATGAGAGTGCATCTCTCTGTGTCTCACACACACACACACACACACACAGACCAAAAGCGGCAAGTCTGATGTGGGGCAGGCAGAAAAGATGCCTGCCCGGGGCAGCTGGAAATAGCAGTCCGTCGGACTCTGCTGTCCACTGCCAAGGGCATATGGCAAAATTGCCTATGGTCGGGATCAGCAAAAACATATGTACGAGGCTTACATTGGTCTCTCTCTCTCTCTCTCTCTCTCTCTCTCTCTCTCTCTCTCTCTCTCTCTCTCTCTCTCTCTCTCTCTNTCTCTCTCTCTCTCTCTCTCTCTCTCTCTCTCTCTCTCTCTCTCTCTCTCTCTCTCTCTCTCTCTCTCTCTCTCTCTCTCTCTCTGTGCCCTCAACCCCTTCTCGTTTTCTCTCTCTCTCCACGAGGGCATGGCTGCCGTTATTTTCCTGCAGAATCCTCTCTCTCTCTCTCTCTCTCTGTGTGTGAGAGTAGACAAAAGGAGTGCACAGAAATAAATGCCTTTAGAATATTTTAGATCCCTTTTAAGCTCTCAAGCATTGTTTTAAACAGGCTCAGATGTGTCCACCGTTTGACATGCACAGAGGCCCATACTGGTCCCAGGGTGAGAGGAAGTTTCCACGGCCCATGTGCAACTCGTTATAAATTCTGGACAGGTTCTCCTGGACCTCTTTGGGGGGGATCGTATGTGATCCGGTTGCCGTATGGTCTTTATTTTCGACGCCCAGATCCGTTTACCCCGTAAAACAGCGTTTCAGTTCGCGACTTTTTGGTGCTTTCACCGATTTGACTTTTTTGCAGTGCTTTATGGCTTTTTCATTGAGAATGGGGGGGTGGGATGCTGTCTGGGACTCTGAGGATGCGTGGGCTTGAGACAAGCAGTGGGTGGTGGGCTGTTTGGTGTGTCGTACGAAAGCCACTACGAAGTCTGTTCCTTTTTGAAAATGGGACGGATTTCAAGTGGACAGTCCCTCAAGGTGAATTGGTCACTGCCTGATCAACAAGTTCTATGACTCAGTGAGTTTCCGGTCATTGTGCTGTCACAATTCTCTTGGAGGGTTCTGGCTTCCTTGTTTTGGGGAAGGTTTCCCGCCCAGGCAGCGAACAGTTAGGTTTCTCGCCCGGGTCATGAAAAATTTCTGGATGGCTTGCTCGTAGAAGTCTGTCTGTTCTGTTATGAATACCCCCATTCTTTTTTTGCTATTCCAAATTTCCTGGCTTTTCTGCCTGCCCCACATCAGACTTGCCGCTTTGGTCTTCGGCGGGGAGTTTCCGTGTCGAATTTGGCTTGTAGGTTTCTGGCAAGTCTGCGTCATTGTCTTCTAACTACTTCACATTCTTAGTGTCGGTTGGTTTACATTCATTTTGTTTGCGTGTATGTGTTTTCTTGCCTGTGTACTCTGGCAGATTGGGCCGGCCTCCACTGCACAGCATACTAAATGCATCTGGACCTGTAAATAGAGGTCCGATACGTGCACAGACTATTCAATTAATCCACATGTATCTGGTCTACCGTTCAGATACTTATTGAATGTTGACATTGTTGAGTAGTTTACTAAGCGTATTGGCTTGCTTGTCTGTGTGCTACTGCGTCAGAGTTGGATTTTGCCCGTGGTGTCCGTCTCCTTGGTCTTCTTTGCTTGCCCAGTGGCCATGTCAGTATCGTGAGCATGATCGACACCATCGGTTCGCTTTCCCTGCCTACAGTCCCTAAATAGTAAAAACTCTTAAACATTTTCAGCGCCTTAATTGTACTACGTAGAGCTCGAGGTAATTATGCCTCCATTGTACTACGAAGAGCGGAAGCTCTTACATACCCCCATTCTTTGTTTGCTATTCCTAATTTCCTGGCTCTTTGGAACTTGAGACACTATTAATTAAGTTATTAGTGCATTAATTTGTTTGTCGTTTAAAAATTAAAACAGGTTTTTTATAGGTTTGATGATCCTCTTCCTGTGTGCTTATCCCGTTGCTAGTTTGCATCCCAAACATTACTACTCTGTGCTACCAGCAAAGAAGATCTAGCTTCTGTCCAGAGTGATACCACACTAGCCGTCGTCAAGAGAGGGGGCGGGGGGGGGGGGGGGGGGGGGGGGGGGGGGGGGGTGTAGGGGGCTGTGGCTGGCTACTGTGTCTGGACAAGGTGATAATTCTTTCTGAAAAATGGAATCATGAGGGGATATAACAGCAAGCGCATGTTACCTTCCAATCGTGCCAGGATGCTCTTCGGGCGCAGACTGCCAGAGGGTGCGAGCTGCGGAAGCGTGCACATCAACGAGTCACACCAATGAGCCGGGAGGAGTCGTTGGGTCCAATGGCGCAAGCACCGTGGATGTATAACAAACCGGGTGGCGCTGGCGGCTGTGGGGGGGGCTACATCAGCAATCCCGCTTCTCTGCGACTCAGACAGGACAGTATCGACTTCAGTTCCCAAGATTCCGAACAGTGGAGGGCAGTTGTTGCAGACAGTTGTCCGTCCATGGAGGGGAAGGGCCACTTACTTGGCCTCCGCGGAATGCGCGACTTCGACACAGAGGTGAGTCACCGGATTCTACCTGAAATTTGAAATTTCTCCAATAAATCACAGGAAGCGGGTCAAAGATTCTACCATAATTTTTGGTCAAAGTTGCTGCAAAACAAGTCAAAGATTCTACCAGAAGTTGTTCATGACCCGGGCGGGAAACCTAACTGTTCGCTGCCTGGGCATTCAGCATTTCGGCCTGAACGCCGCTGCTGAACAACCCCCTCTGACTCGCTCATTGCCGCCGCCGCCAAATGACCCTGGCTGTAAACTTAACTGTTTGCTTGCTGCGCATTTGGCCAGAACATTGATGCTGAACAGCCCCACCCTGATTTCTTGCAACACCTATCCCCTGGTACTTAGCCTCTGCGGTAAACCTACCTTTGCTGTGTCGAGAATTTGACCGAACAGGGCTCTCGGCTGGTGCCTTTACTCGTGGCTTACATACTTCCTCGGGCTGCTCCACTGACCTCTCATAGAGTTAGCCTGGAAGGCCAGCGGGAAGGGATTCCATGATGCTTGCAGGTGGGGAGGCAATGTGTGTGTGTTTGTGTGTGTGTGTGTGTGTGTGTGTGTGTGTGTGAGAGAGAGAGAGAGAGAGAGAGAGAGAGAGAGAGAGAGAGAGAGAGAGAGAGAGAGAGAGAGTGCCGGTGCCTTAGCGCGCTAACGATTTTGGTTGTGAAGTTCGTTGAGATTAAGGAGAGTCTCACGATAGGAATGGAGATGGAAGGAGTGTGCAGAAAAGTCGAAAAGGGTCACTATAGGAAGGGGAGGGGGGGAGGAAAAATTGCGACATCAGTAGTAGCGAAAACCATAGAAGAGGGAGGGGAGGTCTTTGATAGTGTTGAAATTCTGTGACTGGCGGGTTTACCCGCGATTGGAGGGTAAACTGGGGTATAGGGCTAAAGAGGGAAAGGGGGGAAAGGGTGAGAGATAGGAGGGGGAGTTGTGATAGGCTGAGATGGGGAGCGCAAGTCAGGGGAAGAATAGCGACATGAAGGTGAGCCACCGTGGTTATGAGGGGAAGAGATGAGTGGAAGGAGGGAAGGAATTGTAGCAGGGGAGAGAGTAGTTCTGATAGGAGACAGAGGGAGGAGGGGACGGAAGAGAAAAGCACCGAAGTCACAGGAGGGTGGGTAAACGCTGCCGAAATGGTAGGAGTGTCGTGGTCTGTTTAATGTTGTTTCCACACATCCGTGATCAGCAATCTGGAGGAGGACGGAGGAATAGAGAGTGGTTGACAAATAAGAGAGAGAGAGAGAGAGAGAGATTGCAGAGGTGAAGGAGAAGAAGAGAAGGCAAGGAAGTAGTGGGCAGTATAAGCATGGATCCAAGAGGACTGAAAATGGGTTGATGATGAGGGAGGGAGAGTGTAAGATGAGGACAGACGCCGACAAAGGGAGGTTGTTTTCTATTTGTTTGTGTTTTTACCTGCGAAGATCTAAATACAGACCCGAGTTTGAATCCAGATGCAATGAGATCAACAAAAGAAAACGATTTTGGATTATCTGGAGAGAGAGAGAGAGAGAGAGGATTCTGCAGGAAAATAACAGCAGCCATGCGAGGGAAATGATACTAATGGGCGTGACTGAGGTGTTACACCGATGAACTGTGAAAATGCAGACCCGAGTTTGAATCCAGATGCAATGAGATCAACAAAAGAAAACAATATTGGATTATATCTGGGGCAAGTCAGTTCACTCATGATATCTCATTACCTGTCGCACTTTTCTTTCTCATTTTTTAATGTAAAATGATGAAGCGCAACGAGCCTGTTCTTTTGTATTTGTGTTTCGGGAGTTGGCGAAGCTGCAATAGTAACGAAAACAAAGTGCTGCGGGAATTTTTGCGCAAGGAAGGAAAGTTTTCATTCGTTGGACTTAACTGTTTTGACTTCTGTGTTTTGCAGTCGGGTGTGATGTCGAGCAGCCGGTATCTGACTGAAACGGCAGCATCACCAGCCCTGATGGACCTGAACCAGAAGCTGGAGCATTTCAAGGAACGTCGGTCACAGCTAATGCGGCAGCTTTCAGCCATGCCTGAGCCAGTCGGCGTGCCTCGCACAACACCCGGAAGCATCGTGACAGCGAAGGATATCCTTCGCATGTCTCCTATGCTCACCCCCACCTACCGTTTAGACGTGGATTAGCATATGCTTGCTCATAGCCATTTTGAGGGGTCGGCAACAACATCGAGGGCTAAGAATGAACAATGGTCAGTGATTCATCTCGAACCGGGAGGGGTAAACCTGTGATGATAAACAAGGAAGGAGAAGGTCCTTTTTCGGCGTCATCAACACAGCTGATCGCATTAAAAGGGGACGAGGAGGGGCAAGAAAATGGCGATGACGCCACCAACAGCTATGGTGTGAGGAAGGAGAAGCAGGGAGAGGACAATTGTGTCAGAGCTGTAGGAGGGAAAAGGTTTGGCGCAAATTGGGAGTAGTCCGAATAGAAGGCCAAGCTTGCCAGGCAGGCAGGAGGAGGGTTTTTTACTGGTTAGGCGATGGGATCAGATACCAAGGGGAGGAGGTGGTCTTTTCGCTACCTTCTCTGCACTGTATGGCGGATTCTGTGCCATATTATTATGAAATGTTATTTCAATATTATGCGGGCTGGTCATTGTTCAAGCTGTAGAGACCATTGATAGCCATAGTCGTGAGGACTCTTTTATCTCGTTAGACAGGAGAAAAGAGGACCGTCTTCTCTCTGTTTGCTTTGCGAGGTGCGCCAGAGGATCATCCTCCTCGGCAGACCCATTCTCCCCTCCACTTTGTGTGGGCCTGCCGGGCCACCCCTTTAACTAAGTAAGTTTTGCAGGCTTCCGCTCCGCACACAGTTCAGTACAGCTCAGGGTGAAATGATGTACTTGGGTGTGTAAGGATTGAGGTCCTGTCGTATCGGTGGTGGTTTTGCAGGCTTCCGTTCCGCACACAGTTCGGCTCAGGGTGAAAGGACGTACTTGGGTGCGTAACCTGTTGTATCGGTGATACCTTTGCAGGCTTCCGCTCCGCACATGGTTCAGCTCAGGGTGAAATGATGTACTTGGGTGTGTAAGGATTGAGGTCCTGTCGTATCGGTGGTGGTTAGTACTGCATTCTGTCCATGGTGATCGAGCATGGTGGTCATCTGCTCGGGCGTCCATGGTTGACCAGATGCCCTGTACTGTCCTCCCATCAGTGCCCTAGCATAGGTCTCAGCAATCAGAGACACTGTGGCTTAGGGTTGGCCTGTTATATGAACGAATTCAGATGTGTCTTCATTATGACCGGATACGTCTGCGTGCGTGAGCATTGACCTGCATACATGTAGGTTTTCTGCCCTTATACAGAGTCTGCTCGGGGTGCAATGATGTACTTTGGTGCGGTTTCTTTCCTGTTGTCTCCTCCTGCAGGTCCGGTACTCTCTGATCACTGCCGGGAGAAGGATCTGAGCAGGATCTCGGCGACGGCTTGCCAGGAGGAATGGGGGCTGGGTTAACCTGTTATATAAGCAAATGCAAACTATTCTCTTTATAGCCACAGGATAGATCTGATTTGAAATGTTCTTCGGGACATCCATTAAAATTGGGACGATACAGAGAAGATTAGCACGGCCCTTTCGCAAGGATGACACGCATAAATCGAGAGAGAAATGGTCCAAATTAACAACAACAAAAAAAAAAGAAAGTAAAATCTGATTTGAAACATATCTAAGGGTGCAAAATTGCAGTGCTACGCTCGATGTTCTCCGGAATCCGAGAACAAACCCAGGCAACCTCCTCTGGAATCCGATAACAAGCCGTGAATGAATCCAGCTTCGAGTTATTCCTCTGGAATCCGATAACAAGCCGTGAATGAATCCAGCTTCGAGTTATCTCATCGATCGGATGCAAGGTGGAGGTAGACTTGGTGATGGACCGATCGGCAGTGATCAGAGAGTACCCGAGGGTTCGGTTTAGCAGCTAGGTGTGTGATGGGAGTCTGCTCTCACCTTCAACTGCATTCTAAGGTGGCCCTGCAGTTATGGGCACTCTTTATCAATGACAACGAAAAAGGTTATGGGAACTCCGGTTGTCTGTGCGCAGAGATCAACATGCTTAGGGTTCAGCGTGTGGCTCGGGTCATTTGCCAAACTGAGGTTATGGAAACGGAGGAGGAGCTCCACGTGCAGTCTCCATGGAGGTGGAAAAGGTGGAGGTGGAATTCAGTGTGTGCTTGATATGGAGCTGGAGTGGGAGATGTGTGGTTGCAAGGGAGGGTATCGACGAGCAAGAGGGAGAGAGCCAGTCGCAAGTTGGCAGGCAATGTTTCGCCTGTGGTGGCGATCTCGCTTTCCGTGACGACTTGCGATGTTGGCACATGCAAAGTAGTTCAGTCACAACCAGCCTGGATTTGGGCACTGAGAGAGAAGACAATGCGGAGGGTCATATTGCATTCGACTCTCACAAGTGACAATGAATACATTACCCGAGGCATTCCTTATCAGCAGGGTATACATAACGCGTCCATGCATATACATAACGTGTCCATGCATTGCGGTCGCGCATGGCGCTCATCCGCTGGCCTCGCTGCTCAGGTAGCCTCAGTGGTGATCTGCGGTTAACACTGCATTCCGTCCATGGCGGTCGAGCATGGCGCTCATCTGCTAACCTTGCAGCTCAGGGAGCCTTTCTGGCGGTCTGCGGTTAACACTTGACTAGCAGTTTCAGCTACGTGTGTTATGGGAGTCTGCTCTCAGCTTCAACTGTATTCTAAGGTGGCCGTGCAGTTATGGGCAGTCCTTATCAATGACAACTAAAACGGTTATGGGAACTCCGGTTGCAGACTGCATTATGTCCCTGGCAGGCGATAGTCTGACTGGTGGCCTGCGGCTAATACTGCAGTCTGTCCATGGTGGTCAAACTGGCACCCGTCTGCTACCGTCTTCACCCAAATAGAACGCCCGGTAATTATCGCCGTATCTGGGCTGAAAGTTGTGCCAAATAAGACGGGAGCCTCGCTGCTCAGGTGGCGTCACTGGCGGTCTGCGGTCAATGCGGCTTTGTCGATACTGCTGTGGTAATGTGGAGACTCGTTAGGGGGGGACGATCTCCCTCTCGCTTATTCGCTTTTAAAATAAATGCACAGTAACAGTGTGCATCATCGTTTCTGGATTATTGGAGTTACTACCATTTTGACTGCCGCTGTTGGATGTGAAGAGTTACTACCATTTTCACTGCCGCAGTAATTTTGAGAACCTATTGGATGTGAAGAGTTACTACCATATTGACTGCCGCAGTAATTTTGAGAACCTATTGCAGAGTGTCATGGGGAACATGAGTTATCTCACCGATCGGATGTGAACATACTTCAAGTGAAACATTGCTTGCCTGCCAACTTGGGACTGGCTCTCTCCCTCTTGCTCGTCGATACCCTTGCAGATGGAACTCACTTCAAGGGTTCCACATGGAACCAGATGGAACTCACTCCAAGGGTTCCGTATAACGGAGGAGGTCGACTTGGTGATGGGCCCCACATCATATAGACATCGTCTTCCTTCCAAGCCGGGGATATGGGTTCGATTCCAAGCCGGGGATATGGGTTCGATTCCGGTACAGATCACCGCATGATACGAGGCTTGAGTCCGTGTCAAAGATGAAACTCACTTCGCTTCAGCGGCTCCAGATGGAACAAGATGGAACTCACTTCAATGGTTCCAGATGGAACTAGATCGAACTCACTTCAACGGTTCCAGATGGAACTAGATCGAACTCACTTCATCGGTTCCAGATGGAACCAGATGCAACCAGATGGAACCAGATGGAACCAGAGGGAACTCTCACTTCAACGGTTCCAGAATCAACCAGATGGAAGCAGATGGAAGCAGATGGAAGCAGATGGAAGCAGATGGAAGCAGATGGAACTCACTTCAAGGGTTCCACATGGAACCAGATGGAACTCACTCCAAGGGTTCCACATGGAACCAGATGGAACTCAGTTCAGGAGCTGCAGATGGAACAAAATGAATCCACATAACCGGAACTACCTGAGGCCGGGACCATTGAAGTGAGGAACAGTGGGTGTATATTGTAGCGGGAGTAGCAGCAGGCAGCAGCTTATTATCTGCTGGGGATCTGGGAAGCGCATGCGAGCATGCAGGTTGCTGCTTAGGAGCCAGATGAACATGCCTGCGGTTATCTCTGCGACTGGCTCGGGGGTACACGTTGGTGGAAYAAGAGGAGCAGGTCTGGTAGAKGGACCCACTTTTGCGGATGTGTGAGAGATCTGCTAGACACGAAAAAAACGTGTGTGCCTGTGTGTGCGTGACAGATCTCACACACATGCAGACTGGCCTGCAGCTAATGAATGAAAAATGCCTCGGGGGTACACGGTTGTTTCTTGTTCTCAAAAGGAGCAGGCTGAATGAAGCAAACGTCCAAACTTCTCCAAAGTGAATTTCACATCATCTTTGTCTGAACGGGGTGCACACCAGCTGATGAGCCTGATGTCGTGCTAGGCTCATCAGGCATTACCTTGCCCATCTTCTCGCCCCTTCCCCCTCACGCCTCCTGCCCCCCTCACTCCCCCCCTAACCGCCCCCCAGTTCTCTAACAGTTGCACGCTGCTTCCTGTCGGGCACCTTGACATATGGAAGGACATCCACTCCACGAGAGAGAGAGAGAGAGAAAGAGAGAGAGAGAGAGAGAGAGAGAGAGAGAGTTCTGCACACACGCATGCCGTAGATGCTAAGTGTTGTTGGGGCCGCATCTGATTTCTTCTGTATGGTTGGGTTCATGGAGGGGGAAGGAGGCGGAACAACTGGGCTTGCTGTCTTCAGTGACATGCATTTGACGGGCTCTTTTTTTTCGTTTGTTTCTTTTTCGACGGGCTCTCTTGTTCTGGGAAGGCAGGAGTGTATCCAATGCTCGTGTACGGGCACACGGCCGTGTGCTGGAAAATATAATTATTGYGTAAATGAAAGACGTGCAGCTTAGGACGTGGGAGGAACTGACTTAYGAAATYTTATGCTTTCCAAAGAGTTTGCACACTGTATTAGAGCTTCTTTTTGGATGCCGCAGGGCTTGAGAGTTGAGGCTGACTCTAAAGGGTGCTCTGGTGACCATAGGGGKGGGRGAGAAATATTGCATGCCCCCATTTTGTTTGTGTGTGTGTGCATGCGAGCGTGTGTGGGTGGGTGCATGTGTGCATGTGTATGTGTGTGTGTGCGTTTGTGTGTGCATGTGTGTG